CCCCGCCGGCCCCTGCGCGCCGAGTGCGCGCGCCCGCGCCGATGTGTGTGAGTGCGTGTCCTGCTAGCTCCATGTTGCCGCCTCTCCCGGTACCTGCTGCTGCTGCTGCTGCTGCTGCTGCTGCTGCTGCTCCCGGGGCTGCGGGAAATGCGAGAGGCTGAGCCGGGGAGGAGCAACTCGAGCAGCAGCAGCGGCGGCGGCGGCGGCCGCTGCGGCGGGAGGAGCCCCCCAGGAGGAGGACCGGGATCCATGTGTCTTTCCTGGTGACTAGGATGTCGTCGGAGGAGGACCGGAGCGCGGAGCAGCAGCAGCCGCCGCCAGCACCCCCCGAGGAGCCCGGAGCCCCGGCCCCGAGCCCCGCAGCCGCAGACAAAAGACCTCGGGGCCGGCCTCGCAAAGATGGCGCTTCCCCTTTCCAGAGAGCCAGAAAGAAGTAAGTTGAGCGCGAGGGAGCCAGGCGGGCGGCCAGCGGCGGCGCGGCCCGGAGCTGTCAGGGCCCCCGGCCCGGTGGGGGCGGGGCGGCCCAGGCGCGGCCCGGTTCGGCGGCGCCCGCGCAGGTCCCGCCGGCCGCGCCGCGCACTTTACTTTGGAGTTCGGCCTCGCTTCTGGGAGAACCGCCCGGCGGCTTCCCCAGGGCCTAGCCCGGCGTCCGCACACGCCCCGCCGAGCACGCCCAGCTCGCTGCCCGGCCCGGCCGCTTGGAGCCACAAAGCTGTGGGCGCCAGGGACCGAGCTGTCAAACGCCGCCGCGGCCGGGTGGTCCCGGTGCGGCGGCCGGCGCTCTTTGTCAGCTCGCGGCTCCTTTAACTTTTCTTGCTCCCAGACCGGTGCTTTTGCCCCTTAATGATACATTAGGAAGCCATTCGAGCCTGTCCTCCCCATCCCCCAACCCCCCCGAACCGCACCGCCCGGCTCCGCAGCCGGCGCTTGGGATCGCACGGGCCCAGGTGTGAGCAAGCCGGAGTTTCGGGGACGCGGCCGGGCTCCGCGGCGCTGGAGCTGACGGCCCGGAGCACTTTGTGTCGGGGAGAAGACAGCTTTCATCGTCGCTCGCCTAGTAACTTTGGGCAGGGAATGGCTTTCGATTGTTTTGGAGCGTACGTGAGGACTGTGCTCGGTGGATGAACTGGCCAAGAAGTGTTGTCTTGACCAAGTGGTTATTTGGCAACTTTTGCCTGAAAAATTAGGGAACCCGTTTTAGTGCCAGTGAGTTAGTTGCCCAGCTATTGTGGCTCTTCTGGGTGCTGCGGAAGATCGGTGACCGTCTTTCAAAGTTGCAGAATGGCGTGTGTTGCTTACTCATTTCATTGTATGATATTCTCATTGAACTGGTGGTGGTGGAAGGGTGCGCTGGGACTGGAAGGGAGAAGCCAGCACATTTACGGATAGGCTTATTTCTTGGCTTTACGTGCATCCATTTGTTGGGCAGGAAAAATAGTAGTATTAACTGAGGCATAGCCGCCTGGGCTTCGGGAACCCATTAAGGTCTTGACCCAATGTACCTTTTTTGAGGTTTGCTATCCTTCCACTACGAAATGTTCCAGGGCCTTCAGTCGCCTCCATATTTTATTGCCTGCTAGTTCCTACCTAGCTGTGAGAAATCTTGAGAGCAACACTGTTTAGAGGATGGATACATTATTACATTAGGTTCTTTGTGATACAAAGTTAAGAGTTTGTCTGCTACATTGTATGTGGTGAGGTCCTGCATAAAATAACCATTATGTCTCCCTGGACTGAAACTTAGAGAAGGTATGTGGAGTCTTAAGTAACTTTGGACTTGGTCGGTTTAAAACACACACCGTTTTAAAAAGCACCACGGGTTTAAACCATGTTAGAGTTTTAATTCGATTCCTTCCCATTTGCTGTTTGAAAAACATTTATATCGCATAAGAAGGTCCGACGTAGCGCACGCCTTTAATCCCAGCACTCAAGAGGCAGAGGCAGGTGGATCTCGGAGTTCAAGGCCAGCCTGGTCTACAGAGCAGTTCCAGGACAGCCAGGGCTACACAGACAAACCCTGTCTGGAAAAAAGAAAAAGAAAAACATTTACATCTTACTACATTAATTTGAGATCACTATGTTTTATATTTGTATTTAAATTCTTCCTTTTAGAAAGAGTAGACATACAAGTGCTCGTTTTTGCAGTGTTTGGGCCATGCACACATGCACACACATTGTGCCTCCCTGTTAACATGAGCTTAGTTGTATTAGTGCAGCTCAGTTGTGTTAGTGAAACTCCTCTGAACTGGAAGGCAGGTTATTGCCACTTTATTATTTTAATTCTTAGTACTATTACTAATGAAGAGAAATGTGGCCTTTTGAGAAGTTAAATGTTTTGCTAAAGAATGACAGCCTAGCCTAACAAAACCTTGGGAAATGTTTAGATCAGTTCTGTTTTGGATTTTTTTCTTTTGGGAAAAGCAAAGATGATTCTTCACAAGGTAGTAAAATGTAGTGGTAACTGGCTTCCAACTTTTAAATTTTTTAAAATTAGGTATCTTTTAAAGGGAGTGGAATTTCTAATTGTTTTTGAAACATGTAAATGGAAACTAATGTGTGAAATGGAAAGTAAAGAGATTTTTGATTGTGTATCTCTGCATCCATTTGGAAAAGACCCTGTAGTTAGTGAAGACCCTGAAAGTGAAACCGATGCGTAACAAATGTGATTAAGGTTTTCAGTAGATAAATAATGTGGAATTGCAAACAGTGCACTGAAAAAATGAAAGTTAATAGCCTTGCTTAGTTGCTTGGTTGGTTGGTTGGTTGGTTGGTTGAGACAGGGTCACTGTGTAGCTTTGGCTTGAACTCACAGAGATCTGCCTGCCTCTGCCTCCCTAGTCCTGGAATAAAAAACATGTCTCACCATATCCCTTGAAAGTTAAATATTTTTTATGAAATATAGGTTTTAAAATTTTAAAAATAAGGTTTTAATATTATCAGTGTTGACCACTAACTTATAGCCAAGGTAGAAATAAGGCCTTATGACAATAATGTGATTATAACAGAGAATGCATTTTGAATTTGTTTTTGAATTGAAAAAAGATAACCATGCCCTGCCAGTTATTGTTTGAATTTTTTTGTGTTTGAATTTTTAATAATTAAGTAAATAAATCAAGTGTATTATAGTTTTAGCTAGCTCAATTTTTGTTTTATTTAAAAGGCATAGGCTATGTAGTTAATGGGTTTTACATTAACTAAAATTACATTAAAATTATGTTAACTACCTAAAAGCAAATATTTTTAACTGAAGGACTCTTTTTGAGGCAGAATTTTAGAAGTAGATACATACACAGGAATTTCCTGTTGTACAAATGTCAAGTGTAACACATAATGAAATTTACATTTGTCTGAAATTTCTCCTTAACTATAAAGACTCTATTTTAGTTATTCTGAGTGCTCATATTCTTTACCTGAGGCACCAAGTGTTGCATCCTGGTAAAACAGCCCCTGCTGGAGCATTGTATGTGCCAGAGGTCTATAATTCTGTCACTGTTAGGAAAGTTTTTCTCAAGGTTTTTTGTTTTTTGTTTTTTTTAAATAAGGGTTTCACTGTGGGCCTGCAAACAACCGTGTAGACTAGGTTGGCTGGGATTAAATGGAGTAAGATAAGGCTTGTGGAGTTCTGGGATTAAATGTTAACTACTAACACCTAGCTTTAGTGGGAAGCCAGGAAGTTTTCTACCACATTTGTTATGTCATCAAAGTTGATGTCAGGGATGGCAAGTGGTGAACAGGCAATGTTGAAGCAGCAGGTGGCAGGGACAGGA